CCAAGCACAGCCACGTGCAGATGGCGCTGATTTCTTTCACCAATCGCCGATGAAGCTCCCGGTCACAGGCATGAGTAGATGATCCAGGGCACGATGACGGTGTCTCAGGGCGATGAAGTCCGGTAGAAGTGTGCTCCGCAACTGAAATGTCGAGATGAGGCGTTTAGTCTCAGTACAGCGTACTGCCGCTGCTGCTGAGACACCATTGGTGTTTGGCGAACTTTCGATGTCGTAGCAAAACAGTCACTGTATTCGGCGAGGAGGTCAACCAGTTGCCGGCGCTTCGGAGCTGGGAGCTCGGGGTCGATGTCGAGCGGCGGCGGCGTCGTGCTCTTCTGCTATGGCCACGAGGTTTCCTCGGAGATTGCGGTGACCACGACTGGCGCCTGAAGCTCCTCGATGTGGCCCACGGTGGTACCCTTCGTTAGGTGCTGCGGCTCCTCTCGAAAGTTCGTCACAAGAACAGTTGTACGTCTTTCTTGGAGATCCGTCACGCCTCTTGCGACACCAATTCCTTTTTCGAGGAGCAGTTGGACGCTGCCTTCCAGAAGAGCTTCACCGTGCATGGCTGCGTCGGTTATAACGGTGACGAAAACACTCGACCGCGGCGGTAGGTTCACATGGTCGGCGATAACTCGGATCGCGCTTGACGTCGTGTTGATCTCCACCGGCGGCACGACGGGCTTTCGAAGCGTCAACTCGTTTGCCGCGAGGTCGATGACGGGCCATACTCGCACAGAAAGTCCATTCCGAGGGTAACGTCCCTCGAACAGTCTTGCAGAACGACGAACTTCACAGGGCACGTCTCACCGTGGATCTCGACGCGAGCAGTGCACCTCCCGACTGGTGTGATGAGGTGCCCTCCGGCGGTTCGTATTTGAGGTCCATCCCACAGCGTCGTGGCTTTTCGAAGGCGGCGGGAGAGCCTCCCACTCAAGACTGAGTAGTCTGCTCCGGTGTCCACGAGTGCCGATGCGTCGTGGCCGTCGATGATGACGTTTAGGTTGTTGGACACCGTTTCAGGAGCGTCGTTTCGGTCTCCGGTAGCGTCCGAGTGGGGGCCCTCCGACGTTCGTGGAGGATCTTGGCGTCGGGCGTCTTCGGCGACTCCACGTCCAGGGGTTGCTGCGCCTAGTTTCCCCGGCGTGGAGCGAGGGGTGACAGGCTTTCACGTCGGGGTCGGTGCATCGGCGAAGCTGGACGTCGTGGTGAAGGCGACCGGAACTCTCGTCGGGACGCAGGCTCGGGGGACTGAGGTCGTTGCAGATACTCGTCGATCTCCCGCGGGCGTTCACCATACCGGGGACGCGGGTCGTTTGGGTGGAATCCGCGCAGCCCGAGTCGTCGGTATGGGCATCGGCGATACACATGGTCAGCTTCCCCGCAGTGGTAGCACAGCGGGCGTCGGTCGGCCGTCCTCGTCTTCCTCGGCGCAGGTTGCTCTGGGTGAACGTGCTGACGTACATCGTCGTTGCGTCGGGAGTACGCCTGCGTTTGTGGGTCTTGTCGTGGCGCCACGGGGTAATGTTGAGGAGTTGGCGGCGGTCGCCGGGCCACTGCGGCGTAGGTCAGCGCCGGCTCATCGGCTGCAGCCACGGTGACAGGGGCTTCCGGAATGAACGCTCGCTGAACCTCGTCCCGAACAACCTCAGGAATGGAAATTGAGGCCGGGCGCTCAGCAGTCGGTAGAAGCTTCTTAAGCTCCTCCCGGACGACCTCGCGAATGAGCTCTCGAATGCCCGGGATGCCGTGGGCAAGGTCGCAGGGGGACTGCTGAACTGCGCTGACGCCGGGTAGCCTCTGGTAGTGGCTGGCTCGGGCCTGTAGAGCACGCTCGATGTTCGTCGCCTCCGTGACAAACCCTTGAACGGTCGTCGGGGGGTTGCGTACGAGTCCATTAAAGATGTCGTCCTTCAAGCCACGCATCAAAATGCGCAGTTTCTTTCCCTCGGTGGCCTGAGAGTCGGCGCGAGAGCTCAGGCGAAGTACGTCTTCCAGAAAGCTCGTGATGCTTTCATTGGGGCCCTGGGTCCTCGATTGTAGCAGGTCTTCGGCCCTCTCCCTTCGGTGTTGATCGGCGAATGTTCGGGTGAGCTCGTTCTTGCAAAGGTCCCACGAGGTCAACGAAGCTTCATGGTTTTCAAACCAGCGCCTTGCAGTTCCTTCAAGCGAAAAAAAGAGGTTTTGCAGACGCTGTTCGTCACTCCACCCGTTGTGGTGAGCCACGCGTTCGTATTGGTTGATCCAGTCTTCGACGTCCTCGTAGATCTCGCCGAGGAAGGGAGCAGGTGTCCGCGGAGCGACGGGCAGGACGACGACGGCAGGAGCGGCGGGGGTCTGCGACTGGTTGGCCATCGGCGTCTTCTTCGGCTTGGGCTTGTCCAGCAGCAAAACCGTACTCAGGATCCTCTCCCTTGGTGCGGCGGCTGGTCCGTGTTTCAGGTTCCGCGCTGAGAGGTCTTCTCACCGAGCCATGGAATCGGACTTGCACTGCGGGCCCTGGGAGAGGGGAACGCTGCACGGGCATGCAGTACCCCGCACCTCCACCGAAATGTCACGGGTGGTGACCAAAAACAATAAATAAACAAGAAGAAATAAACGTTTAATGTGGCGAACTTGTGGCGAACTTGTGCCAAAAATAAAAGGGTACAAAAGGTAATAACAGAGCGTCGAAGTCGGCGTGACAGCACAGTCGAACGCTGGGGCGAGACTGAATGCAGATCGCCACGCGGAGCCCCTTATGTACACGTGTGGGCTTCTGGAATAATCGGCGTAGAGGGTTCGGCGTGTAGAACATTCCGACCTCGAACAAGCCCAACATGGTTCTCGAATTTACCAGAACATTACTTTCAACAAAAATGTGCCTCCGCGGCCAGGAATCGAACCCTGGCTTCCAGCGTGGAAAGCAAGCGCGATAACCGTTAGGCCACGCGCGCGCTGCCTACTTGGCCAGCTGCGCGCGCGGCACTATAATGGATTACCATTTCCAATTACCGAGCATCGAATGTACTAGATTACCGTTATAAATTACTTTCGCTGACAAGTAACGAATTACCCTATTCGTTCTGTTACAAATTATACTCACGCTACTTTTCTCGTACGCTTATCAAGAAAACAATAGAAAGAATTGTGATGTTTTCAAAAATGTTCTGTCACATTACTTTCCATTTCTCATACGCCAGCATTAGGGTAGTCCTTGTACAAATAAATTATTGTAATTAGGAGAAAGAATGCAGGTGTATTCCGTTCACTTGTAAGCTGCCAAAATAGCGAAAGCTGCAACCACTGATCTCTATTTTCAAGGGCTCGATAGCGCATTCAGCGAGCAGGTATGAAGCCACCGGAAGTAAGTGTCTTGTGCCGTAAGTAAGCGCTTCGCAGACTTTGTAACCCTTCCGAGTGCTGGTTCGAAAAGTGTCGAGGGCGCTCGATTTTCGCTTGTCACCTTGAGAAAGCCTGCTTGTTGCGCAGTAAGAGCGCGTCCAGGTCCGAGAAGTATCATGGGAAGCCATTCGATGCAAACACTTTGAGATTCTAGGATCTAGTTGATCAAGGGTACATATGTCCCAAATTCAAATGTCTCATTTTCGGGATTTAATTCGGAGCATTATTATTAAAACCCACTCAAAGACACCGGAAAGTACGGACCAAAACATCGACTGAGTGCACTAGGATAGAGTGCCTTCTTGGTCAAGCGGGACATGAAGGCACCCTACACTAGGAAGCCCAACAGACGCCCGACTTCCGGGACAAGCATCAAACTTCCGGTGGCTTCACATGCGCCCTGCTCGGAGAGCGGCTATGCGCCATCCAGCCCCCTACAATAGACATCAGTGGCTGTAACCACCACCCGCCATCCAGCTAGCATACGGCGACCGGAAATGATCCCTGGAATTCTACGGAGAAAGCTAGCGGTGCGCATGCTCCGTAGCAGCCTCTACCTCCACTGGGAGATCAAGAAGACAACGCCTTCTCGACATTGTCTTCTTGATCTTTGTTTTTCGCATATTTGTATCTGTCCTTTTCTTTAATTGTTTTTGCTTTATTTCAGCTTAAGTCCAGACGCAGTCGATGCTACGAGCTAAAGGAACCATTCAAGAGCGTCAAAAGCACAAGTTACTGGGCCTTTTTTGTTGATAATTGCTCCAGTTTCTGTCTTTTTTTTAAGTAACGAGTAATTAAGGTAATCCGTTACCAATGTTTGTAACAAAATTAAATTACACATTACTGGCGCAAAAATAAGTAGCGTGGCAATCTCAAAATTAATTGAAAATGTAACGGATTACAAGTTAGTTGTAAGGGACTACTTCCCAAGTCTGAGACCACGGGGTGTCCGACAACAGAGCAGAGTTTGTGCATTTATATACGTGCCCAAACCAACGATGGGCGTCTGGCAGGCCCCAGCCAAGGACTGAAGATTCACAGCGAGATTGTAGTTAATCTTGTCTCACAGTCCGAATTTCGTGTAAATTTCGCGTGGTTTATCCCACGTGTGCGAGAAACCAACCGAAAAGGGCATTAAATTCGGAAAATTGGAAAATGCATGGTTCCACCCATGCTTTTGCGACCCACGCGTGGGTATTTACCGCGCAGAAATCGTAAATATGCATAATGTACGTGCAGTATACAACGGAGATTTGTCAAAAGAATAACGTGAAGCGAGCTTCTCGTGTCCCGAATTTCTCAAAACTTTCAGTCGGATTTAAGCACTCGGAAAACGAGGTCACACAACCAATAAAGCAACCTAAAATCGGAAGAGATTCGCAACATACAAAAACTTTCCAAGTATTTAATATTAAAAAATGGTAAATATAATTTGAGTTAATAATGGAAAGCACATTTCCTATTTACGTCAGAGCAAAATCACCGGTAACTGTTTTTTCTTTTTCTTTTTTTTTACGGTGTTGAAGCATTTTTTTGTGTCCCAAATTTCGTGCGATTTTCGGTTAATCCTTTATCACGCATGACGATCTTTTACGCGCGTCGACCGACCTCTGCAGGCTGACGTCCGTGGTCGAGGTGTACTTGGAAGAGCAGATGGTCCTTCGCGAGGCCTTGGACATGGCAGACGTGCCGGGCCTGCGGCTCAGGGCGTCCATGGGCGAGTACAACGTCGTGGGCACCTGCATCGTGGTCGGTCCCCACCTGACCGACCTGTCCAGCTCGCTGTGTGCCCGGCTGAGCGTGCGTGAGGACTACGGTGAGGCCTTCAAGCGTAGTTCGCCTGTTTCCGACGCTTCCTAAATGACAAGGCCGTACATGGACGTTTTTTAAGCAGCCACGCTTGAAAAAAATTAATATACTATGCCTATACTTAAAAAGAAACCTTGTGAAGCCTCTCAGTGACAGCTGTGTGGCTAAAAAGACCTGGAAGTTAAGTAGCTAAACGTCAGCTGTCTCTCTGAGGCTCCCAGGATAATTTGTTTTTGCTTTTTCCTATTGTCTCTTCGTGGTTGGTTTATAAACAGTGCACGCTAAATAACGTTAAAAACTTAACTTTACGCGCATATTTCACTTACTTGCACGTGGTTGGACACCAGCCAATACCAGTTACAGAATGGTTTGTGTCAACGAAATTAAAGCTATGCAAGCGCACACCTTTCTTCCTCGACAAAAAGGCTCCATAATATTTTGACAGAATAAAGGGGAAGCTGAGTTGTGTTCTTTTCGGAAGATGTGCTTTGTTACGTCAACCGTAGACGTAGAGGGCGCACGCTGTTGAGAAACTTGCACGGGAGAACGTTGCTGACTGCACGCCTCGGTCATGCAGGGGTATCGCCGGCGCGCGAAGTGGTCTTCGCTTGCAGCCCCTTCAGCTCGAGCTGCCAGAGGGTCCAGGGTTGCGTACTGCGCTTCGGGACGTACACCTCTTTCCAGGTGAGCCGTCGGTCGCCATGGGCTGACAACCCTGGTTCTCTCCCTGCCCGTTGTGCTTGACGCCGTACGTGCAGCCTTCGAAATTCTCGAACCTTAATATTGGCGTCAAGCACTTTTGGAGGTCTCGGGCCACCACCACGAAACGTTGACAGATTTCCCTCCCCCCTTTGTTTTTGCTTTTTTTTTTTTTTTAATAACTTGATTTTACGGCGTTCCACGAGGTATTTATGTGGCGTGTGAGGACGTTTAGCATGCACGTTACCGGGTTCTGCAATGTCAGCGGGTGCAGCGGCGAATTGGCGATCGACACACATCCTCCTTCTAGCCTATACTCAGTTGTCAGTGCACACAATCGTGCGCCTGCAATCTTAGTTTCCACGACTCGATTATCGAAAGGCTGTTTCTCGCGCCACTGTCGTACTCCTTGTCTCTCGTGTGTGCCCGATTGAAGTTCCTCCTGACGGTCTGCTCATGTGGACTTGGTGCTCCGAAAAACTTCCTAAGAGATAAAGGTGAAATTAATAGAAGGTTCTTCTCGTTCGCAGGCCTACTCCAAGCTGGAGGAGTTGCTGCAGCCACTTTTTGCCGTCCTGGGCGGGAATCCATTCCACCTGAAGTACTGACTGAGGAGGGACACGAACTTCGTGTGGTTTCTATTCCCGTGTGCGCCTCCACGCACCTTGCTCGCGGTTTTTGGAGATTGTAATGAGCGACATTGTAACTTAATGCGCGTTTCGGGGATTAGATCATCGTCATATTTTCGTCAATAACAGCCATGTGTTTTACTCGTGCAAACCCGATGCAACATCTTCGTGCATAGTATAACCAGCTCCGTCATCATTGCGCTAAGCGCTCGTGGCTGAAAGCAAAGGAATGAGTTGTTTACAGTGTCAGATGAAGAAAAAATATCAGCAGTGTTTTTCGTGAAGCGGAAATAAACTGGAGTATTTCCTATTATCCCAGAACCTGTGTCGTGATGAAATTGCACACGTTCAAAAGTCACGGTTATTTCGAAGCACTTTGAGGAAGATAAAATGATGCGATATCTTTAAGTGACCTAATACAGATACGTGGTGCAAATCAATTACACCAAGTTTATAAAGAAGCTTTTTTTTGTTTTTAATAGTGCTGTGCATGAGCGCCGCCATAACGGACTTTCAGTTTTTCTTTCCTCTTATTACATTCGCTTTGCTTCATCATTTCCACAGCAGGACAGGTTATTGCCGTGTTATATTCTACTGTGTCCTTTGTGGCCTTTGGCCTTTGTGGAGGCTCGTTAACGCCGGCTTCAGTGGCTCGTAATCTCGATAAGTCGTAACCGCGCGTTTCATTGTGGGACGTTTGCCATAATGACATCACACGTGACGTTTTTATGATCAGTTTTTATGTGCTCGGTTCGTCCGAGAACGTGGATATGTGCCGTGAAAATGAAAAACCAGACACCGTCGGACCACGATTGCTTGGGCGGGAAGCAATTCGGGTTGAATTCACGGATACTTGGGGTCATCAGATTTATATGTTTTGTTCCAACATGAACGCCGGTAAACCGTCCAGTTGTACGGACCACCTGCGGACTCACGAGGGTAACTAGTCACGTCACGAGGGTAATGAGTGATGCCACGAAAGTGACGAGTGACGTCACGGAGGTCACAACGAAGGTCACGACCTTCACGATGGTCTTCACGAGTGACCTTCATGATGTGACAAGTGATGTCAAGAAGGTCACTAGAATCACGAGGGACGTCACGAGTGAGGAGGGAGGGGGAGGAGGAGGAATGTAGGAGGAGGGGAGGAGGAGTAGAAAAGGAAAGAAGGAGGAGGAGAGGTTACCCTCCTCTCCGTACCCTCCCCTCTCCCTCTTCCAAAGTTGCGCTCTAATTCGGCATTAGAGGGGATTGTAAACGTTTTTCATTTTTTTATCGCTTTGAGTTATGTTTGGAACTCGAAAACGGGTAAAGGCTGGTTCACATACTTGCGACTCCTTAGAAAGGAGTGCCTTGAAACCGCTTAAAATTTCTTAGGACGAGAGAACATACTGGCACGCTGGCGCCATCTATGCGGTGACCTTGGAACTGCATTTAACAAGAGCGTATGTTTTGCGTGATTTTCGAGGGGAAATATGCGTAATACCTATGAGAAATGGTCGTTTATGACGTTGGCAAAAGCTTTTCGAGCCAAGCAATAAAAGATGATGCGCGAGAGAAATAGAAAATATCCGGGACAGCCGAGTTTCCACTTCTACCGAATAGATGGCGCCGGTGTGTCCTTTCGTCGTAAGAGATTTTAAGAGGTTCCAAGGCACTCGAACTTAAGAAGTTGCAAGTGTGTGAACGGGCCTTAAAGGGACGGTGCAACGACTTTCGGACTTTGACCAATTATCCGCGGGAATCAATATGTGTCAGCTATGAAACGAGGAACAGAAAACCGTGTTTTCCTGCGCGCGCTAGTTTCTATTTTAAGATATAAAACAAATCGCAGGTCAAAGTGCCTCTCAACTCCCACCTCGTCTTTCGAGTGGCGTGCTCTGGAGGACGAGCTGGTTTCCCGTTTGTGTTCTTTCTTCAGATCCCCCAACCACTTCTTCAGCGATCGTCAACTTTTCAAGGATTTGCATTCCCGAAGGTCGCGGCGACAAATCAATACATAACGGCTTACCACGGGGTGGACGGCGAATGTAGTAGCGGAGGGGGACATGTTTTGTTGACTTCCGCGTGTCCCCCAGAAGTCGTATCAACGTAGTTCCCGTAATCGCCGAACGCGGGTGCAGGCTCAGTCAACAAATAATTCGCTTTTTTTTTTTTGCGATTAAGCAGCGGAATTTTCATTTTGGGGTGGTAAGGTGGCGCATTTTTTGTCACTTGTGCCTAGATAAACATATATAAAATGCAAACTGTAAATTATTGTAACATTAAAATCATTGCACTACCACTTTAATTGTCAACAGAAGGTAAGTTTTAGTATCGGGCAGTGAGGTGATGATTAGGCGGCATGGTGTATGCATGGAAACGATAACCTTTCTGCCCGGTTATAAGTGTCATTCAAACAGGCCGTTTATTGCCGCTGAAGAGTACAAGCTTCGATTTTAGGGTTGATAAAACCGTGGAAATGCACTTAATTTTCGACGCCGTCAAATTTCGACCAAGTACCGACATTCATGGGACAAAAGCGCTGTGTCAGCTGGAACTCATGCTTAAGTTCTGTGCGTCGATGGATACTCGGCGCTGAGTTCGGCGCCAATCGCCGAAGTTGGCGCCGTCGTAGCGTGATGACGTTTCAACCAGAAAGAGAAGCAAGGCAAGTTTCACCCCAAGATGTACGGCAGCGAAGGCTAGACGCCCAAGCTTATACGCCGGTTCACACACTCGCAACTGCTGACGATCGACTGCCTTAAAACTTCTTTGGATCTGTAATACAACGACGAGAGACACACTGGCGCCATCCATCGGGGTGGTTGAGGAACACTCGGTATTTTGGTATATCTTTTAAAATTATTTGTGCGTGCGTTATTCTTTATTTATATTTTTTTTTTGTCCCAAAATTTTTTGACAATAATAAATGACAAATTTCTTATAGAGAGTACTTACATCTGATCTCGCAATACACTACGAAACCTTCGCTCTAGGGAAATGCAGTTCCAGGGTCACCTCATACATGGCGCGAGCGTGTTGGTGTGGTGTGTTCCCTCGCCGTAGGAAATCACAAGAACTTGGTCGTAAACAAACGCAAGTGTGTGAACCGGCCGAGTGGTAAACTTTTTTTCAAAATTTCAAGAATGGATTGTTATAACTTTTCACCGGAACGGAGCTGCGCCGAGAAATATCACAGGAATGTGTCCACGATTAAAGTACACCTTCGTTGAAAATGTGAACTCCCTACGTGCAGGCGCCCTATTTTCCAATGCATTTTACATCGACACCGTTAGATATATGTACAATTGACCTTTTCCGAGAAGCGTTCTGCGCACGCGCGAGCGCCCGATGCCAAGCGGTCGAAGTCGGCACGAAAAATCGAGGAAATTCGGAATGAGGCTGTAGATCGACGAGTAGAACACGTAATTGCAGCATATATATAATTGTGTTACACAAAAAAAGAAAGTGGATGGAAAGAAAAACACAACGTTTGGGTGGACGCCACGGATTTCCCTTTTTAAAGTCGCGTTGCGCACGCGACGCAGCTCAGAGAGCGAAGCAACTGGGAGCGTAGCTTCCAGTATCGATTATTAGCGCAGGTAGGTCACTTCCTCGATTTTTAGTTCGTGCAGCCACCGCCTGGTGCCGTCGGTATTTGGAAAAGGTCCATTGAATCAGATTGAGTCAACATTTTATTGCTGTGTGATAGGAATTTCGGATGAATGTATGGACACACGGTATAAGCAGTGATAATAAACCTTTTATAAACAGTAAAATCTTGGGTAATGTATTTGTTTTTAATTTCAGTCCCCCCTCCCTTTATTTCGACCCCCCCCCCCCCCCCCCTCGTAAAATACACTTCCGGGGTCGATGGTGGAGGGTAGGATGTGTATGTCAACAATGTGACGTGTTGGGCCAGTTGGTTTGAGGTAAACATCTTGAGAAGAAACAGCGGCAAAAAAACTTGGAACAAGAGTAAAGAAACAAACATTTCGCAAACGCAAAGCGAGAAACATGAACCGTCCGAACTCGGCGCCTGCAAGGTCGTTTTTCCGCATGAAGGTCGGATCCAGCTCGGCGCACGTGAACGCTTCTCCACCAATACGGAGTTGGCGGCGAAAGAAAAGGGAACGCGATACTCTGGCTCTACATTCAATCCCCACCCCTGCCCGTTTCTATCTGGATGAACATCGTACTCGCGTGCGGTCGTGTATCCCTACTGCGTGGTGCACGTTAAAGACGCCAGGCTAGCGGTTGTACCGCACTGGCTAAATTGCTCATCTACAGCTGAGACACCAGACGCCCACTAAGGCAGACTAAGCTTCCGGCTGTATAAACATACACACAACATTTTTTTTTTTTTTTTCTGGCTCTACAAGCTGAGCTTATGCAGTTACTCGAATTCGCGCCTGCCTTTCGCGCGGTACAATGGGGTCGTAGGGTTGTTAAAGTGCCAGCTGAACATTTTAAGGACACACACACAGAGAGACGAACAAAAAAGGCAGACACATCGCTGGTGTCTGCCTTTTTTTCGTCTCTGCGTATGTGTCCTTAAAACGTTCAAGAAGTCGTAGGGGGTGCACGTATGTTTGTTCGTCTCTTTTCCAGTAGCGTGCTACGTCAGCATTCGGCCGGGTCTACTCACCGATCGAACACGATCGAGCGTCGAAGCAGAAACCCCCGGATTACAAAGCCACCAAATTTTCAGCGTCGCCCGAACGAGGCAATTCCCGGCTCGCAGTCTGGACGCCAGCCACAGCAACACCTCCTAGGCTGCTTTCAAAGCCTGCGCGTCACGTGACACGACGTCACGTCCCGGAGGCCTGCACGGGCGCTGATTGGATGCGAGTTCGTGTCAGCGTTCGCGTGGGACTCGTTTCCTATCATAGTCCCACGCTAAGGCTGACGCGGCGCTCGCATCCAATCAGCGCCCGTGCAGGCCTCCGGGACGTGACGTCGTGTCACGTGACGTGCAGGCTTTGAAAGCTCTCTAGGAGGTGTTGGCCACAGCCGAACGCAGCGCGGGAGCCCGCCCGGCGTTCACCCATCTTAGAAAATGCAGCGAGCTCACTTTCTGTTTCACATTAAAGGCCTACCGCACAGCCAACACGGCGATCCGACGGAGGCAATCTTATGGTGAATTCCACTCGTAGATCTGGAGCGCTTTAAGCGCCGAAGAGCATCTGCCCACTATATTTCGTTCAGAACCAATCAGAGCTCGGCGTCTTTCTGACGTCACCAGGACCCCCTGCCAAAAACAAAAAAAAAGCAAACGCTCCACGTAACGCGCAAAAGAAAAAAAAACAGCAATACGCCGCATTTACAGCGCGTGGATGGCTTAGGCGATGTTGGCAAGGAGCGCCATGACGATACATTTTTGGCGACGTTCGATGGACTCGGTCGGATCGTCGGCTGCAGTAAAGCGACTGAATCGACGCCCCCTAGATAAGACTGCTGAATTTGCTCGCGTCGCTGAAAAAAGAGGCCACCGTATACGGCACAAATTTGACACGTACGGTGCGTCTGCGTTCGGCTCGTGTTCGACGGGTGTGAGCACCAATTCCAGCCGAACGGAGGCCTTTCTGAGTGACGCGGTAAAATTTGACACTTCGGCTTTCTGACAAGACAAATATGACAGCGTGCAGAAGGCAATTTCTTGCAGAATCGCCTTCTGCACGCTCCTATGTCTGCGGGGCTGTGTAATGTCTTCTGAGCGTGCGCTGTTGCTCTGCTGCGCAACATATTGGACGCTCCGCATGCCTCTGCAGCTCAGTGACTCGGCATTTTTTGCTCGGGTGATAAGCGATGAAAAGGTCTATAGACTTCCTTTCGAAAGACTACCCTCTGATGGCAGCTGGGAACTCCCTGCACAAAGGCGGACAAAAGCCGAACGTCACGGCAGAGCGTTTGGTCGGTTCAGAAGGCAAGAACACCCACAGAAAACGGTGATGACCGCAATGACGTCCCACTTTCGACGCTGTTTGAGTGGCTCGTCGGTTCCTGTCATTGACCGCCCTACGACGGTCGCTTTCTTATGGAATGACTTGCACGTTCCACGATGTCAGTTGTTCCACCATTGTGGTTCCGACCTTCTAACAATCCGCACGTGACTTTCGAAAGGGGTCGGTAGGGGGCGGTGGAGCCGGTCGACTACAGATCCGTCCTTTGTCCGCGGACGGAGAGCGGACGGGCGATGGAACCCGCTCAGCGTCTCTTCTGCCTCAAGTGGAGCAAGCCGGAGTCGGGCGTGTTCAGTTCGCTCCTTTCCAACGAGTCCTCGATGGATGTGACGCTGGTGTGCGCCGACCGCGCCCTAAAGGCGCACCGGATGGTGCTGTCCGCCGGTAGCGCCTTCTTCCAGAGACTGCTCATGCAGAGCCCGTCCAGGGAGCCGACCCTCGTCCTGGCGGACGTGCGCTTCGCCCAGCTCCGGCCCGTCCTGGAGTTCATGTACTGCGGAGAGGTGACCGTGTACGAGCACGAGCTGCCCGAGCTGCTCAAGGTCGCCGACGCGCTCGAAATCAGGGGCCTCGCTGACGCCACCGCCCGCAGCGGTTCCGTGAGTAGTGGCTGGTCACGCACTTGCGACTGTCTACCGACTAGATTTTTTTCGGTGAGCGAATAAGAGCTCTGCGTTCTGGCATCATCGCAACCCCTGTGCAAGAAGCTGACAAACCTGCGCTCCGCTTATTATTATTAAATCAAGTATGCACGCATCCGACTTTTTCGGAGAGCGAAGAGACTGCTAAAAAAATACTGATTGAAATAATAGTTATAATGCCCCCTCCCCCCCCCCCCCCCCCCCCCTAAAACATTTTTGGTCTCAAGATTGATGCCGGATCAATTTTCAGCTCCCAGGTTTTGATAGCACAAACCAACTTGGTTCAGCGTAAGATATTTAATCGTGTAATATTTGTATTTTATTACAGCTATTTTTCGTGCTTAAAGCAAAATGCCTTCGCTCAGTTACCTCAATTTTCGGGTTCTTGTACGTTTTTGAGCACACAATTTATGTGTCAGTCTTAAAAAACACCAGCCGAGCAACCAACAAATTATTTTAAAAATAGTAAATATTGGGAGCTTCTGTTGCGCCAGTGGAGGACTGAGAATTGGGATCTTTTGACGCGGACCTGAGGATCCGTAAGCTTTACCTAATATATCCTTAAGGTCACAGAAGATTTACATATATATATATATATATATATATATATATATATATATATATAACTTGTAATAAAGCGGATCTTTATGACACGTTTGAAGCAACACATGAAACATTGAATGAAACCATATATGTACCACCCTCCCGATTTTATACTTATCCGCGTCGTCATGCACAACAACGTGTCTGTATGGTACGTCCCAGACGTTCCTCCTGATCGACAGCAGTTGGTTGGACTCAAAACTTGTTTTCTTAATCTTATTGCCAGGGTTATATAAAAATGTATTTTCATGTCGGCGTCTGAAACGTCGCCACGTGAACATTATTCGCGGGATTGGCGCAAAAGGCCGACGTTGTCACAATCACGATATCCCCCAGTCGTCATCGAAAACACACCGCTTGCATTTTTGCCGAGCATGAGCGGCGCACAGTCCTTCACACTGCTTCGGCCTTGTCACAATGCCAATATCTACACTTTTCGAAAAGGCGCCGGTTGATTTTTGCCAGGCACGCGATCACGAGCAGCGCAATCCATCGCAGACTTTTTGAATGACGTCCGGCAAGCGCAGCAAATATACAGGGCGTTTCACGAACGGTGGACAAATTCGATATTGCGAAAACTACGCAGCGCAACAAAGAAAGGCTTGTGTCGTTTTGGTCCTGGGACCAAAACGACACAAAACGACACAAGGGATTTTCCTATTTAGGAAAATCAATAAAGTCCGGGGTAATTAAGTTGTTAATTATTTTTGCGTTTAAAGGCCGACCAACAAGCAGAAAGAAGGAAACTCTCCCTCAATTCCTCCGTTCCATTTGAGAAAGAGGGGGACCCTCCTCCTCTCTAACGGGAGTAGTTGAGATCCGCTCCTGTGTGGAGAGGAGGGGAAAAGTGGGCGAGTGGAAATGGAGAGGAGGAAACTGGGAACCGGTTTTTTCCCCGGTAGAAGACGATTCTGTAGGTCGGACTTTAAGGGCATGGTTTCAATTAGCAAATTGCTCAGCGTCATCAAAAAACACTAAACCAACAAATTGCAGAACGATAGAAGGCGTGCGAAGCATTTTACGGCTTTCTGAAAAGAGTAAAGCTATACGCACTCCGGAGTGCACTTCGGACGGAAATGGCTATACGCACTCCTCGGAGAGCTCATGCCGCTCGGGTCACCCTTTTTGAACGGCGCGTGTATCACTGGGGAGCTCGTTAACACAGCCCCCCGTTTGCGTTCACGCCGCTTGGCGGCGACAGTGTGCGGCTGCTAATTACAAAACGTAACCAGTACACGCCGCTTCGCGGCGTCCAGCCGGCCATCCAAGCCCCGCTGTCCCTGATCGCACCTCCGGAAAGGGAGTCCCATACCATTTAGTTTGGCGAAGTTTCGTCGATAATATTCGGTTTAGTGTTCATCGCAAAAAATAAATGTCGAAAATATCGCCAAATGCCTCGACAAAACAAAATGTTCGAGAAAAGAAGAAAAAAAAAATACGCTTAACGCGGATCGAATCCGCGTCCCCTTGCGTATGAAGCGGCCACCTTAACCACCGCTTAGACAACTTGTTGTGACCATTCGTTTTATACGAGATAAGCGGAGTGCGTATAGCCATTTCCGTCCGAAGCGCACTCCGGAGTGCGTATAGCCTTACTCCTCTGAAAAACCGCCTAAATTCGCTAGGTTTTTAAGTTTCGGTTTGCTATAGGAGCGCATCTCGGACCCCGGCGGCACCGCGCCCCGGGGAGAAATAGTGCAACCAGCCTCTTCTGCGTCGCGCGATGACAGCGCCGCAGAGGTTGGTAGCACTATTCCTCCACGGGGCGCGGTGCTGTCGGGGCCGAGATGCGCTCCGATAGCAAACCGAAACTTATAAACCCGTCGAATTTGGGCGGTTTTTCAGAAAGCCGTAAAATGCTTCGCATGCCTTCTATCATTTTGTTTGTTGGTTTAGTTTTTTTGTTTGTTTTTTTATGATGCTGAGTAATTTTCTAATTGAAACCATACCCTTAAACACAATATTAAAAATATAATTACGCAAAAATAATTAACAACTTAATTATCCCGGACTTTAAAATAGCTGTGCAACGATATTCAGTTGGAATGTTTTTCACTATACACGAGCTTACTGGCACTAGTGGAAGTCAAGGATACTCGCACGCAACTCCGCTGGCCAAGAAACTCCCTTGTTGCGGTGTAATTTCAAGGACAAAAGCGATCATTGTCATTCAATCTCTCCTTTGCAAAACTTCATGACGTAACGTGCGTATCGGAGTACACCCATATGCTGTTCGTAGATTGGACCCGAGCATTGCGTGGGCACTCGATTTAGACTCGTGATAACTACTAGCTCGAGAAGCATTCGGGTGGTGGCCCGTGTCCAATCGCTGCAACGACGACAATAGCCAAGCCATAACAATTTCTAGAACTCAGCGCGTGCCCTGCGCTTTGCCAACCCCAGCGCGTGGCTATGATCTACATCGGCGGCATATAATCGGCTCCAGATCACGTGGCCGCCTGTTCTGGCTGCGAGTTGAGGGGGTGAACGCTGCTCGTTTTTCTTTAATTTTTTTCTGGGACTTCTATTGCGTGGGGTGAAAAACGAACGCGTGTTTCATAGGTCATTGTTAGGGATCCGTTCTAACCGGTATTTACGCAAAGCACAAAAATTGTTGCATCGTACCTTTAATAATTTTCCAAAAAAGGCCCCTGGCCCAAGAACAAAATTACACAAGCTTTTTTTTTTTTTTTTTTTTTTTTTTTTGCGACGCGTAGTTTTTACAACATCGAATTTGTCCACCGTTCGTGAAACACCCTGTAGTTTCGCTTTGACCAGTCTGTATATGCTAGATCGGAAACTCAACGATGAAGTTAGCTCTATCTGTCGCTGATTGGCTTCTCCCTTGGTAACGTGATGTGACGCTGCGATTGAGTTTTTCCCTGCGGATTTCGATGGAGTTCGAAACAATCACGGCGACGCCGCGCAGTTAACAAAAAAAGTTACGAACGCGGGACCACTTTACTTGGACGTTGAAAACACACAATCGTGAGGCGTGTTCCAGGCAGGAGCAAGGTGGAAGCTCCTGCCACGGCTTTCCACTTTGACAGAGCGAACGCTGGAAAGTGGAGGTCGCCCCTATCCAGCGTTCGCTCTGCTGAAGTGGAAAGGGAGGAGCTTCCGTTTTACCCTCAGTCTGTCCCCGACTTCAGTGTGAAGCGTCTAAATACATGAGCTTTTCTCTACTCCTTTTTTGCAGGATCCTGCTCTCCCCGACGCTGCCTCGCCGTGTTAAACGACCTCCACCTGGGCAAACGTTGCGGACAAGATGTCACCCAAGCTGTCAGTATCGGTGATCTTGTAGGAATAAAAGCGAACGCGAAAGTTACTCTTCTCTGTGCAATCACCCGAGCGCAAGACTGATCTGTCTCACCGGTTGTTTTGAGATTATGCGCCAAATGTTCCGAATCACACGGGCTGTATAGCTCTAAAGTTTGGGCAGCACCGCTGACGAGCAAAATCGAATATTCTTGGGTCGCGTTTCGGTTACGCGTCATTACACTTCTTCACGGTGCTCGCGGGCGCTAAGCTGGCAGAATTACATTACTGAATATAAAATTGTTAAATAAAACTTAGGACAAAAAAAAAAAGCTCGGAGAAGAGTTTTATTATCTTGATAAGACACTGAAGGTAAAAATAATTTTTACAATCTTTCTTTCTAAGATAATTTAGACGCTGTTTCCAGGCGTCAACAGATGCTAGCACACGCTTGTAAACGAACGTGCTTCGTGCATGATCGAACACTTCGGTATCACTTTATGCTCGATGCAAGCATTACATGGTCGAGTCTCAACAACGCGCTTGCGCCTTCTGGTCGACCGAAACAGGCCTAAGCACGTTTCCATCGCTAATTACCTAAGTGAAAAATGCCGAGTCACTGGACCAATGCGCGACGTTTGATACATCGGACACGTGACATTATTTTTTCCGCTAAATTTAGTGGGGAAACTGAATTGGTGCATATCTGTTTGTTTTTTTTTTTGCGAAATTTAGCGGGAAAGCGTTTCATTTATAGGGATACTGAACCGAAATTTTGAACTCTCAAAACAAGGCTGGATGGAGAGGAAAAACGCTGCAAAACCCAGCGATATCTCTAACGGATCGCTGTATTTTCGGAAAAGATGTACGCGATTGAACACGGCCGACGAGGCCGACGAGACAAGTCACGAGTCGTGTCCCAGCTGTAGAAAAAAAAATTGGGTTGTGTTGTATGTTTATACAGCCTAGCTTGGTCTGCCTCACAGGGAGGACGAGTCTCGCAGCTGTAGATGAGCAATTTAGCCAGTGCGGTACAACCGCTAGCCTCGGGTCTTTAACGTGCACCACGCAGTAGTGATACACGACCGCACGCCGGTACGATGCTCATCCAGATCTAAACGGGCAGGGGTGGGGTTTGAACCCAGGATCCCTGGGCCGGTTTGCTCATCTTGCGGCCGCGGCTGCGGCCAAAAGGGATTTTTATGTCACGTGACGAGCTCCATGGGGACAAGGAAGTACCTAGCGTCCCTGCCTAATGGCAGAAAAGTCCGTGCCGCTACGAGTACAAAAGTCTTATTTCGCTCGCAGAAACTGACTGCAGAGGCTTTCAACTAAAGTCAAATTAACTGCCCCATCATACTTTAGGAGCGGAAGGTAAAATTATGGCCAAGGAGGTAAATATAAGCCAAAATAAAAAAAAAGAAATCCCGCAAAACGAAGGCGGTGGTCGTGTATTTATATATGTGTGCCAGCGACGTCCAGAGCATCGTCTACGTAGTCGAATCGATAAAGAAAAAAAAAAAAGTCTACGTAGTCGACCGGTTAGAACGCCGGGACACGTCGTCGCGGCGTGTAAGTTACGGAATAAAATCTCGACCAAAACGTTTTTTTTTTTTTTTTTTTAAGTGTGATCTTTTTGCACTAAGACTACTGCGCCTTACACGGTTCTTACTGTTTGCCCCACCTGTTGGGTCGACAAACCGGAAGAAAAAAAGATTACGGTAAGCCAAGTTAACGCCCTACTACTATCGTTTCATAATGTTGATTAAAGGAAACCAAGATCAAGCGAAGTTAACGCGCAAATACGAACGTTTCATAAGGTTCATTAAAAGGACACCAAGATTACAGTATCGGTATGACTTTCCCACAAACGGGGCCGAAACAAGCATCCTTTCCCAGCAACTACAGGAATGGCACAACGATAAAACCGCCCCCCAAGGGTCTCAACGTTCTCAAAGAGGGAAAGGAGATACTAGTTATAAAGGAAAGGGAATACACTAAAAGAAAAGTTTGAAAAGCGCATCAGTAATCTAGTTATTTTCGATTACTTAGAATTAACCTTGGTCATTGTCAGTGATAATGCGGAATTATTCTTGTTTGCAGTCCAAAAAGGGCATTGTACTATAAATATAAAAGTTTAAAAAGCTGTAGCGTCACGACGAGGTGTCAATATTCTAGTCATCTCTGGTGTTAAGAATTCGACCTCTGTCTTTGTCAATGATAATGACGGTGCAGAAATGTTGTTGTTAACAGTCCCCATGGCAAATGACTCGATGATTTCTCTCCCAAATCTGTTATTGTGCCCGCCCAGTATATTAGTATTAGAAAAATGAGGTGTACAGTCATCGCATGTGCGGCTGTGAACGACAATGGGCTGATACGACTCAGTTGAAGCCTTTGATGCTTCCAAGTTATGTTCTCTGAGTTGGTGGTTGACGCATCTCCCAGTCTGTCCAATGTACTGACTGCCACAGCTTAGTGGAATCGAATAAACCTTCCTTTCTTCGCATTCTACGAACTTTTTTGCATGTTTTACATTGCACCCTCGGGGACTGTCGCTCCCATTAACCTTTTTGCACATCTGTTTGAGGCGCATACGACAAGAAAAAACCACACTCGTGTCAAACTTGGACGCGATAGACCTTAAACGGTGCGCGGAATTGTGCATGTAGGGAATCACAGCGAAACGACCTTTCTTTTTTGAAGCAACTTGCGGGAAGTTGTGGTTTGATAATGAACCTCTCAAGGGTGGAGCGAAGTAGGTCAGCAGGAAAGCCTGCTTTTTCTAACCTCTGCTGCTGCAACTTAAGGCTACTTTCCGAGAAATGCTTGCACGACTTGGAGAATGAGGACTTGAAAAGTGACCTTACTATTCCAAAGATGTCCTGTTCCCGTCCTCGTCCTCTCTGTTTTATACTTTCAAGTTTTGTAACCTATCGCGCTACGACTTTGTGCAGCGTTGCCCACAAATGGTGCTTCTTTTTTTTTTTTGTAAAATTTGCAAAGAGCGAATTTACCTGAGGAAAAAGTAAAGAAAGAAAAAGGCTTAGCTTCTATGGAAGCGCAGCGACGCCACCGGTCTTCAAACAACACAGCGCCGTTTCGCACGGGACACAAGAGATGGCGCAACGAACGCCGCCAACGAACGAGCATACGGCGCCGAGAGCCGAAGCAGACGACCTTTTCGACTCAAAAGCGGCGCGCGTTACGCAGGCGGCGACAGTCGCAGAAACAAAAAAGACAGGCGCGGTAACAACAAGGAACTGCAGTTCCTTGTCTGCTAAAGCGCCGGCTCTCGGCGTCGTCTGCTCGTTCGTTGGCGGCAGTTGGCGTCGCGACCGCTTGCGCCATCTGTTGTCTCGCGTGCGAAGCGGCGCCGTGTTGTTTGCAGACCGGATGCATCGCTGCGTTTCCATAGGAGCTAAGCCTTTTTCTTTCTTTACTTTTTCCTAAGGTAAGTTCGCTTTTTGAAAACTTTACAAAAAAAAAATGCACCATCTGTGGGCAACGCTGCACAAGGTCGTAGCACGATAGGTTAAGAAACCGAATTTTCCGGTTGATTTAAAGAGCCTGCCGTCTCCTTGTTTCACCCTGTACAATGTTATGTTATTAAATATACAACGCTCTTGCTACGACTTTTCAATAACAGGAGGCGCATATTTAGTACTAATTCACACTGCAGTCGTGTCAATAAAAAAAAAAAAAAGGTTCCACAAAATAAACACACAAAAAAAAACGCGCAGAATAAAAAAAAAAGCGTTCTCGCCGTGATTTGAACCCCGAACTGTCACGCCGCGACGGGAAGTCCCGGGGCTCTAACCGTTCGACTACAGCAGACTTTATTGTTTATTTACATATTCATATACACTAAAAAAGTATAATACACTATAGACACAAATCATCAAAGCGAAAAAATCATCAAGTAAAATATGCCTTAACATTCTTCGCTCTCCGGACGTTTGTAGTAAACATCTTTAGAGAGCAAATATTGCAGCTCAGTACGAATTGTGCAAGATTTTTGCAGAAACTACATCTATCTTTCTAGACGCGGTTCTGTCGTTAAGTCCATGACTACGTATACAACTCTTTGTATTTCCATGAAAAAACAATTATATGATGTTTGGTGAACGACTGATACTTGCTACAATTTCTTTCCATTCATCGTCCTCGAAGCGTGCCAACAAGTTCTGACCAACAAATATAGAGATGTTCTTAAAGTTTACCCAGGAAGGTTTGGCGACACCTCCATCCGTGTCCACTTTCCGTGTTTTCCATAGGCTATATAAGCCAAGTACCACAAGTGTGTCAAGGGCCGTATCTAGACGGTCTACGAAATGCAGGTAACGAAAGTTACTCTCCTCAACTTCAAATTCCTTTTTGACTGTTCGTTACGTCCCCAAAAAAATACAGCATCAACACATGGTACGAATGCATGAGTGGATGATTCAGTGGTGTTAGACAGTCTGCAGTTAGTGCTCCAAAATACATCGAATCCCCGGGATTCACGCCACTCTTTCACCGGTATCGTTCGGGAGTGAAAGCGGAAAAAGAACGACTTGCACTTCGGTGGTACAGGCATACGTTTCACTCTTTTTAAAACATCCGTAATACAATTTAAAGGAGCATTGAAAGGACTCAAGCGATATAGTGGATCAGGGAATAGAGAATTAAGTAGACATTTCTGCAATTCCTTTTTGGAGCACGACTCCAAGAAAGCGCTTGTGAAACGTGCTCCGAAAAAATGCAATGGTGTCTGCGACCTCTATAAAATCCACGTAAACGGATTGCGTCATTCGATGGAATTCCAGATACCTGTGCCTGCGTATACTTTGGTAAAAAATAATCTTTGCACGCTTCTAGGAACGGGTGTTGGGAAGTTTTAAAAAATTTCCATCTCGCGATTAGCTATCTCACAAAGATGTGACCGAGGCCTAGACCACCATCTTCCGTTCGTCGAAAAAGGTTAGATCTGCGCACAGGCTCGTACGATGAATTCCAAATAAATGTCGCA